TCAAAGGCTCGGGGGCAGCGGCCCCCCCTGGCCCCAACATAGCTCCGCCACTGATGATAGAGTCTGGCGGTTGAGTGCTATGGCGACTAGGCGGACTGGCGACTGGCCGTCTGGCCGAGCGGCGGAGGGGGTTTAGGGTTTAGGGCGACGCCGTGACCAGATGAGAAAAGGCTAGAAGGCGAACAGGCGGGCAGTCGTACAGAGATACGAGTAAACAGAGATCGATTCGATCGGCACCTAATTAGCTAGCCAGGCCTAGGTCTCGGTGTGCGCACGTTAGCTACTCTCAGATGGGCATTGACCGCTGGTGTCTACGTCTACGTGGGCTGCACTCCCTCGCTGCTTAATCGCTGGGCTGGCCGGTGTCCAGCTCAAAAAATTACTAGTGTCCAGCCCATAAATATGGACCTCATATAGCGTAAGCACGAGATTTACCCGGTGTCCTGTGACACCGGGAGGGCTAACGTAGGTCCGCCCCTGCATGTCCTCACCCTGTGAGGGCAGGCCAATGCGTGACAGGTCCCACTAAGGGTTGACACACTGCTCCAGGGAGAGGTGGCCCCTGACAGCGTCCGCAGTCCATGCATAATGGACCCCCGAGGAAATTAGCACGGTGCGGCGCACCTAGGCACATCGGACGGTGCGGAGCGTGCCAGTGTGCTAGCCGCGTCAGGCCCCGGCGCAACGAACGACATGGAGGGAACTCTTGCACGGCGATGCCCCAATAGGCAGGTACTGCAACATGCATCCTTTATTAATGTAATTTCCACACTTTATCACTCCTGTACGAAGTTTATCGTGGTTGCACACCCGACCTTGATTTTTGAGCTCAAACATGGCGGCCGTGGCCGGTGACCTAAATATATCCAGGTACTCCCTCCGAGAATCCGCAGAAAAGCAAAGGGGTCCAGAGGAGGATGACATGAGAAAAAAGGGTGGCGTGCACGGGGCCGCGGAGGTGGAGCATCTTCCTTCGAGGCTCGAGGGGGGAGTCATGGTGGAGCGATTCAAAAGTGCAGAGCACGCGGAGCGAATGCCCCGAAGTGTATCATTTCGCTTGTTTCAAGTGTAAGATGATACTATATGGCAATAAGACATACTACCCAGGTACGGACTATATTGTTATAACCAAGCTGTAAGAGTTTTGTCTCCCTACTTTACAAGCCTGCCTTCAGTCATAGGACTTGTTTAGTCATCGCTCGTATGGAAACAAACAGTCTTGGCTGCCCGAGGTGAATTTTTTAATTGCCTATTCTCAATCTCAACACCAAAGTAGACATGCCCGTTGATAAACATGTGACGTGCCTCAAGTGGCACATGTAAACTACGGAGTATTATGCTACCCTGTCTCTCCCCATTTTCATCTCACCCATTCACTTGCGCCATCCTCTTTTGCTGCTAGCAGATCTGAGTAAGGGGGGAAGCCTGCATAATATTGGTGAGGTCCGTCTATTCTCCTGCTCTGCTCGGCTGAATCCCTTTCTCTTTCTCATCTTCTTGGTTCTTACGACTTGTTTGTAGATTGTAAGGGCGAGAGGCCATGGAACTGGCGACGGGAGCCATGGGCTCCCTGCTCCTCAAGCTGGCCGAGCTGCTCAAGGAGGAGTACAAGCTTCACAAGGACCTCAGGAAGGAAGTGGAGTCTCTCTCACTAGATCTCGAGAGTTTGCATGGCGCCCTCCACAAGGTGGCGCTGGTGCCGCGCGACCAACTGGACGAGCAGGTCTGGATCTGGGCTCGCGATGTAAGGAAGGCGTCGTACGCCATGGAGGACATCGTCGACAACTTCCTTGTGCGCGTGGACGGCGGCCATGACCATGAAGCTGAGGCCAAGAAGACTGGCGTCAAGCGGTTCAAGGACAAGGCGAGGAACATGTTCAACTTCAAGAAGCTGGCGGACCGCCGTAGCATCGCTGGAAAGATCCAAGACATCAAGAACCAACTCCAGGCTGTGGCCTTGCGGCGTTCCATGTACAAAGTCGACGATATCGTGGCCAAGCCTGCTGCGACAACATCGACCATGGATGATCCTCGCCTCTTGGATCTGCATAGAGTGACAAAGCTCTTTGGCATTGAAGAGCCACGGGAGGCGCTCATAAGTATGTTGGCCGGGGAGGAGGATGGTCAAGGTGTGCACCAAGAGATGAAGATAGTCTCCATCGTCGGATATGGCGGACTGGGCAAAACCACCATTGCCAAAGCTGTTTATGACAAGCTTAAGGTGAAATTCCACCGTGTGGCTTTTGTTCCGGTCGGTCAGTATCCAGACATGAAGAAAGTTTTCATGGACATTCTAATCAGCCTTGACAAGCAAAAATATACGAATTCCAATATGACCATATTGGATCAATGGCAGCTCATCGATGAAATCAAAGATTATCTACAAGATAAAAGGTGCGTATATCACTCACCCCCTTGAATTTCTACCACCCCCTACAGTGAGGGAATATGAGGGATGGGAGAAACTTGTTAGACATAATTACTAAGTTTAACTTATTCTTTCCATGTTACTTGAATTTAGAATTCTTGTATTCAGAAGTTTAGAAGATTTGACCATATGTTAACATATTTTAAAACAAGGTTTTAAAAAAACATACTTTAAAACAATTAATTTCTAGCTCCAAAAACCTTTATATCATAGTTTTTCTTGAAAATATAAATTCTAGAGTATTTCACACCAATAAGGCTGGTCACAATGGGCAAGAACATAAGCTAGTAACTTCACACTTTCCTAGACTATGTTACTACCTCCATAGTGGGTAGGAACATCTATGTAGTGTCATGCAACGATGTATTTATTAGGTTATAGACTCATTGTTTCTTGGAGTGTGTGATGTTCCGGTAACTTAGCTAGTTACCACAAGCACCTCTCTCTTCATTAAATACGTGCCACATAAGCAAAATTGTATTGGAGTATGTGATGTTACTTCTAAGTTCCTCCCCACTGTGACCAGCCTAAACAGAACAACCAATAGGGTTAATTAAGTGAGAAATGCCGGCAATAAATAGGGAGAACCAATTAACGGGCCAATTAGGGCCAATTAGGAGGGGTTGCCGGCTCATTTCTTCTGAGTGTCTAATTGACCTAGCATTAAATCTAATACAAAAAAAATCTACAATGTAAAATAGTGCATTTATACACTGAGGGTGCGTCGTATTTGGAACTTGTAAAAAAAGTGCCTGCGAAAGTAGCATCTGGAAGACTCCACAGAAAAATTGTGAACGGAGTCCTCCCATCAAACAGGTTAGTTCCAGGTTTATAAGGCACCATTTTTTTGTCCTAAGTCAAACTCTGTAAAATTTTGACCAGTCTTACTCAGAAAGTATTGACATCTATACTTTAATATAAAATAATTAAAAAATTGTATTTCACCATAGACCTAGTGATATTGATTTATTACTGTAGATGTTAATAATTTTGTCGATAAACTCGGTCAAAGTTTATGCAGTAGGTATGATCCAAATGCCAAACCCAAGGAAGGATTGGCTCGCAATAGTTGCCGCCTTTCTCCAACTGGGAAGCAGCAAGATTATTGGTTACGAGTTGATTGCGACGAGAGCTAGTTTAGTGGAAAGACTTGGTCTATTGTGATGACCTTGTTTAGCACGATAATGCCATTTTTTTGATTCATTATGATTACGCCATGCATTTTGTTTCCATACGTAATCTAGGTGTATAACTTAATGTATTGCAATGTTTGTAGGTACTTCATTGTTATCGATGATATATGGGATACATCAACATGGGAATTCATAAAATGTGCTTTTGTGGATAATTATCTTGGAAATGTGGTAATCACAACTACTCGCAAATCACAAGTTGATATGGGTGGTCTTGTTTACACACCAAAACCACTTTCTTATAGGGACTCCCAAAAGTTATTTTATACAAAGCTATTTGGTGCAGAGAAATGCCCTGAGAAATATAAATCAGCTGGCGTGTATGATAAAATTACTGAGGTGTCTGAAAAAATTCTGAAGAAATGCAATGGTTCTCCATTAGCCATCGCTACTGTAAGGGCATATTTATCCCTAAGTGTTTTGGTGATTGATGACAATACTCGTGCAGACTAATCGTGTGCCTTGAGTCCCACAGATACTTCTTCATTAGGCACAAGATGATTCGGTGCCCCTCGAAGACTAGTGAAGCCGTCGTTGTTCTACGTTTCTCTTTGGTGGAGTTGAGTCGTAGGAGAGCCGTACTATTAAGAGGGGGTCCGCGTCGGAAAGGTAGGGTGGAATCACACGTACACTTGCCCCTCCTTTCCTTGCACTTTGGAGCTACCCATCGTTATCATTGTTGTGCGAAAAACTGACGACTACTGCTGTACTTGCGGTAGTACCGCAAGTACACGCGGTAGTACCGCGAATCCTCACGGTAGTACCGCCCCTCTGGCGCGGTAGTACCGCGGTACCTTGGCCTAGTGCCGCTCCAGTGCGGTAGTAGGGGCGGATGTAATTTTTTACATCCGCGCCCCTCACGGTAGTACCGCTCCTCTGGTGCGGTAGTACCGCCGCACTCTGGCCTAGTGCCGCTCCGGTGCGGTAGTAGGGGCGGATGTAATTTTTTACATCCGCGCCACCCACGGTAGTACCGCTCGTCCTGCGCGGTAGTACCGCGGGCGCTCACGGTAGTACCGCTCCTTTGGAGTTGTAGTACCGTGGCCCTTCTGCCTAGTACCGTTGCGTCGCGGTAGTAGGCGCGGATGTAATTTTTTACATCCGTGCCTACCACGGTAGTACCGCGCCTTACAGGCGGTAGTACCGCGTCGGGTTTTTGCACCACCCTAGTTTCTGCGGAAGTTGACACGGATGAAATTTATTTCGTCCGCGCCCTTCCCAGGCCGTGACCCTCCTGCCTTGCGGTAGTACCGCAAGGGGGAGCAGTAGTACCGCACCAGCGGTAGTACTGCTTCTAGCTCAGGCTTGTTCCGGCCTGTGCAGCTGCCACGGTAGTACCGTGATCACCCACGGTAGTACCGCGCGTCGTCGCGGTAGTACCGCTCCCTTAGAGCGGTAGTACCGTGAGTCGCGGGCAGAACTAGTGGATAACGGTTGGATCTTTTCCCCGACTATATAAGGGATGTCTTCTACCTCTAGTTGACTACCTCTTCCACCTCTAAGCTCCATTGTTGCTCCAAGCTCCATTTTCGCTCGATCTCTCTCCCTAGCCAATCAAACTTGTTGATTTGCTCGGGATTGGGTGACAAGGGCCCGATCTACACTTCCACCAAAGGATATTTGATTCCCCCACTTATCCCTTGCGGATCTTGTTACTCTTGGGTGTTGAGCACCCTAGACGGTTGAGGTCACCTCGAAGCCATACTCCATTGTGGTGAAGCTTCGTGGTGGTGTTGTTGTTGGGAGCCTCCGATTGTTGTGGAGATTGCCCCAACCTTGCTTGTAAAGGTTCGGTCGCCGCCTTCAACGGCACCAATAGTGGAATCACGGCATCTCGCATCGTGTGAGGGCGTGAGGAGAATACGGTGGCCCTAGTGGCTTCTTGGGGAGCATTGTGCCTCCACACCGCTCTAACGGAGACGTACTTCCCCTTAAAAGGAAGGAACTCCGGTAACACATCCTCGTCTTCACCGTCTTCACTCTTGGTTATTTCGTGCCTTTACTTTTGCAAGCTTACTTATTGTTACATCTCTTGCTTGCTTGTGTGCTAGTTGTTATTGCATCATATAGGTTGCTCACTTAGTTGCACATCTAGACAACCTATTTGTTGCGAAGTTTAATTTGGTAAAGAAAAGCTTAAAAATTGTTAGTTGCCTATTCACCCCCCCCCCTCTAGTCAACCATATCGTTCCTTTCAATTGGTATCAGAGCCTCGTCTCTTTATTAAGGACTTCACCGTCCGAAGAGTATGGTTGACACCCACGATGGTGTGGAGGAACACTCCGGTGTGAATCCTATCTCATCTTCGGCCGAAGGGGGAACCTCGGTCTCTCGTGAGGAGTTCAATGTGGCTTTGGACACATTGAAAACCTCCATGACGGCCGAGGTTAAAAGCATGTTTAATGATTTCTTAGAGGGACTTAAACTATCTACCGCACCTATGAAAGTGGGTGATCCCACTAACAAGGTGACGGATGCTTTCTCCGATAAGGGGGAAGCTAACAATGAAAAGAGTCCTTCTACTAGTGGTAGAAATGGCACCGGCATCTTTGCCCATGTGGAACCCCCGGTCTATGGAGGGCCTATCCCCTCCACTCATTTGAATCATGCCGGTCCACCTCCTAAGTATGAAAAAGGTGTAGATTTTGATAATGGGGTCTATCGCTTTAAGCGTCATTTGAAACATGTGAACACTAACCTTTGGAGAGTCATTGAAGAAGGTTTTTATCCTCATGACCCAAGCAACTTCACCCCTCGAGAAGCCGTGGACAATCAATTCAATGAGAGTGCTCTCTTCATCATTCAAGATGCAATTCTTCCCGAAGATCTCCCTCACCTTCGACCCCACGTCGTTGCTAAAGAAGCGTGGAAATGTGTTGAGGGCCTCTATCGTGGAAGTGCTAGCATTCAACGGTCCAACTATGAAGTGGTGCAAGATGAAGCCGACGAGTTTGCAATGAAAGAAGATGAAGAACCTCGTGAGCTCTTTCGAAGAGTAACCAAACTCGCGGTGGCACTTCGAGATCATGGAAGCAAGGACACGGATGACAATTGGATCAAGCGAAAGTTCCTCAAGGCCATGATGCCCTACAACAAAGCCATGTCCTCCGTCATTCGTCAACGACCGGACTTCCACACCATGACCTCAAGTGAAGTGTTGGATGAATTCGTTGCAATGAGCATCTTGGACAAGACCGCCGAAAATGCGGTGCTCCGTTCTCAAAGAGCTAAGAAGCCTAACCTTGCCTTGAAGGCCAAGGTCATTGTCGAAGAAGAGGAAGAAGTGGAAGATGAGGAAAGCAACCCCGAAGACACCAAGTTCGACTACCATGAGCACATGGCCCTTGCTTCAAGACAATTTTGGAGCAAGAAGAGCTCAAGATCCAACTTCAACAAGAATAACTCAAGTGGCGTCAAGGGCAAGCAACGAGTTAGAACTTGCTTCAACTGTGGCAATGTGAGCCATTTCGTTGCGGATTGTCCTTACGAGAAGAGGGAAGACAATGGTGGCAAGTTCATTCGGAAAGACAAAGCCAAGTCCGTCCCCAACAAGAACAACTTCGCCAAGAAGACTCCCACTCGTGGGTTGGTGGTTCAAGAAGAATACCAAGAGGATGACGATGATGATGAGAATGAAGAAGCAACGGCCATGGCATCCATTGCCATTGCTACTCCTCGGGTGTCTCTCTTCGAATCACCCAACGAAAACATCACCGCTAGATGCCTCATGGCGAAGGCTTCAAACAAGGTAACCCCCAACATCACAACCACCATCATTTCTAATCCCTCCATGGAGGATTGCATTGATGGACATGTTGAGTCTAATGAGGAAGTGAATGAATTAGAGTCCTTCATGAGTAAGCTAAAGGGAAAGTCCAAGAAGCACTTTGTTGCTCTCTTGGAACAACTTGGTGAGGCCAATGACATGATCGAGGCTCACGAAGAAACCATCTCCAAGATGGAAGGTCATAGTCGTGACTATGCCGATGAGATATCGGATCTCTCAAATGCTCTTGAGGAAGAGCGTGTGCATCATTTGACTCTTGAGGAGTCACACAATGATGCCCATGCTAAGTTAAAGAAAGATCTTGATCATGCTCTTGTCATGTCTCGTGTGCTAACCTCCGAGAAGGCTAAACTTGGGGTTGATCATGCTAGACTCAAAGAGGAGTTTGAGATACTTGACAAGGCTCACAAGGCCTTAAAGGGTACTCATGCTACCCTCAAAGAGTCTCATGCTCAAATCCAAGTTAAGCTAATCAAGGAAAAGCCACCTTTCCTCATATGGTATTAATTGATAATGCATGTGCTACTAACCCTTGTTGTGAGCATGTGCATCTTATGGAGGAAAATGCTAAGTTGAAGGATCAACTTGAGAAGGGCCTTGTGACTTGCATTCAAGGTGAGAAAAACCTCAACGACCTTTTGAGCAATCAAAAGAAAGTTGTGGGCAAAGAAGGAATTGGGTTTGCACCCAAGTCCAAGAGCCAGAAGAAGAAGATCAACAAGGCCAACCGTCCTCCTCCCCTCAAACAAACTTTTGTGAAAGAGGGAGACGGAGCTTCCAAGAAGAAGAAGGAGAAAGTGAAGGAAGTTGATGTTCAAAAGGGCAAGAACGTTTCCTCAAACAAAGCCGGCGACTTTAACCCTTCATATGTGTTGTGCCGTGCTAGTGATGGACATGTTTATGCTAAATTTGTTGGTTCTCCTTATGAGTACATTGAATGGTCTATTTGGGTTCCCAAGGCCCTTGTTACTAACATCAAAGGACCCATTACTAAATGGGTACCTAAAACCAAGCATTGATCTCGTGTAGGTGTTTGCTTCCGGTGGGGGATCATGGTTGCTCGATAGTGGAGCAACAAATCATATGACCGGGAGCAAGGACTTGGTGGTGGATGTGCAAGAGACTCCATCTATGCCCACCAATGTCGAGTGGGGTGATGCGTCACATTCTAAGGTATTGGGCCTCGGCAAGGTTGTCATTTTTCATGATCTAACGATCGAGAAAGTCATGCTTGTTGAGTCCCTTGCATTCAATTTACTTTCCGTTCGTCAACTTGCACTCATGGGTTTTGCCACATTCTTTGATATTGATACCGTGGCCCTCTTGTGGAGCAAGACTCTTAAAGTAGCCTTTGTTGGGCATGTCGAGAACGGTCTCTATGTGGTTAACTTTTCGGAGCAACCCACTAAGACCGCGACATGCCTAATGGCTAAAGTTGACGTGGGATGGCTTTGGCATCACCGTTTGGCCCACGTCAATATGAGATATTTGCAAAGTCTCCTCAAGGGGGACCATGTTCGTGGACTAACAAATGTGAGTTTTGCCAAAGATCGTGCGTGCAGGGCTTGTATCGAAGGAAAGCTTCATGAAAAGGCACACCCTCCCTCAACCATCATCTACTCGAAGAGACCCTTGGAGCTCCTTCACATGGATCTTTTTGGGCCTC